TTGAAGCAAACCACCATTCTACAATGTTTTGTCTTTAATTCAACATTTCTCCTACTGATTCAGTCAAGGATGTCTTTGTTTTTCAGACAAAAGCATCCAGTATCATTTCCAAACCAAAAATAATATAATAGTTCTGTTACAACTTACTTAAATATAATATTTCTGTGGGGTTCCTGTTTTGTCTCACTTGTTCTTCCAATTGTCTATGCTAATTGTTGTGTTTTTTGTGTGTGTTGTGCATGTTTCATATGATACATATCAGCCAGAAACAATTAAAGCTGATGTGATATTTTGGTGTCTTTTGTTACAGATGGCAGATCAATCACATGGTTGTTTGTCTGACATATTTTTGTGTTGTTTTATTATCGACAAATTCACTCTGCTCAATAATATATGATGTTGTTTGACATCGTCTATTTAAACACAAACAATTAATTATTTTAACGTGTATTTTATGTTTAAGAAAACACTTAGATTTTATGATTATTCGCTTGTGACCTATCAGCTTTACAGGTTTTTAATCTCAAATACAATCAGTTGTCATTTTTTTTTTATGATGATCACAGCATTTTACCGTTATTATACTGACCAATGAGAGTTCTTGTTATTTGAGTTTTCTGATCAGGCCAGTTGAAAATATGTTAAAAGCAAGTCTTTTAACAAAGTACTAGTATATCCAGTTCAATTTAGTTATGTCAGAAAAATGCTTTGGAAGGGTAGCTTGAATGCTTTGTAGAGTAATGATTTGGTTGTTCTTAATATGAAATCTAATTCTGTTCATAGGTTGTTTATTTTATTAATATTGATGTAATATGTTATTGTTAAAAAAAATGGATTTGTTCTGGCCTTAACATGAAGTCCAATACTGTTTATAGGTTTATTTATTTTATTAATGTTGATGTAATATGTTATGACAGTTTATTAAGTAGAAAAGAGATTCCCTTATATGAGAAATTTCTTTTGTTTCTATTGATTTCTATTGATAAACATCTACCAAATGATGTTCTTTATCGTTCAAAATATGAATCTATTTATAACATTTATATTCAAATGATGTAATTCTATTCAAAAGAGAGTTGTTGAATATTTTACAAACTACATCTGTGAGATAAAAAGTGTGAATATTAAATAATCATGTAGAAAGACAGCTGTCTCCTACAGTTCAAGGCACAACAAATCAGAAGGTTCATATAAAGTCAAAAATATGTATTATTTCAATATAAAGATTATTGTTATTATATAACGGTATGTACAACCAGAAGTTTTCAAATGTTTCATAATGAAAGATCTCAGTATTATTTTTTTTACTTTTTACTTTAAATAGCTGTAGCTATGCAAGAACTAAATCTGCCTATTGCAGGTGTTTCTTTGGACCTGAAATGTTATATAAACTATTAATTAGACATTTATTAACATGAAAAGACCTCAATCAACTCTCAATGCCAATTTATGAGTCAGATTTTCACTGGATTTGAATCCAATTTGCTGCTCAACACTCATTGATGATTTAATCCAAAAATGGATAATCAAGATTATGTGCCGACTTAACACCATTGTATGTTGCCAATTTATATTTCCAAGCATTGTAGATGATTAAAATATAGTATGTTTGTACTATAATCAAAGACTGAACATGATTTACTGTGATTTAATATAATTAATGCTACTTTAACAACTCAAATTTTCACAGTTTTGTCATTTAAACAGTAAGATTACAATGTTACATGTGGACAAATAAGACTCTGCCTACCATCTGCTTGCGGTCCAATAAGTTGTCAACTAAAGATAAACATATGAGTTTCGAAACATGGATGTAACTCTTTTATAAATATAACGTTAATGAACTTAAAACAAATTTGTTCTTATACACCCACATTGAAATGTGGTTGTATATTATCATGCCCGTCCGTCTGTTGTCCACAATGCATCGACCTTCTAGATCCTAGAGATTAATATCGGATTCCTATTAAATTCATACACATTGTTTAAGCAAACATAACTATCGCTCAAAAAGTAAATGATAGCTAGTTGTATTTTCTTGGCTGTTATGACCCTTAATCACTGTCATTCTAAACTGACAGAAATGCTGGGTTTGAAGCTGTTCAGGTAAATTAAATTTAAAACTATGTACAGTAACAAAGCATTAGAAAACAAAACCAGCGGCTGCCAGGCAGGATACTCCCACATTTTGCAAGAGATGGATAGAGAACAAGCTAAAAACTAAAACGATTTTTTGTACAATCAGGGACCATAATCCACAAAGTTATGGTCTGAAGTGCGCAAATATCAAAAGGGACTTGAAATTTTTGGAATATAAAGATATATTAAGTTTCATCAAAACGGATAAAAATTGTGACCTCTAGAGGGTCCATATTCCATAACTTTTATATTACATACTTATACACAATTTGCATACAAAGAGCGACCATTTTGTCGGTCAATTTCATTTGGATTTTCCCGAAATTCCAATTCAACTTTCATTATGGTGGAATGATGATATATCGAAACTGTTTTTAAAATCGGAAAAAAAATTGTGACCTGTAGAGAATCCACAAGCAAAAATGAGATTTTTCGACCAATCAGGGGCTATAATCCAGGAAGTTATGTTCCGATATGTGTGATTATCAAAAGGAACCAAGATCTTTATGATAAAAACATATATATATTTAAAGTTTCATCCAAATCAGATAAAAACTGTGTACAAGGGGTGGCCATTTTGTCAATCAGTTTTGGTCTGATTTTCATGAAATTCGAACTCAACCATCATTAGGGTGTAACGATGATATATTCAAACGTTATTTTAAATCGGATAAAAATGTGACATCTAGAGGGACCACAAGCTAAAAATGCGATTTTTCGTACAATCAGGGGCCATAATTCAGAAAGTTACGATCCAATATGCGCAAATATCGACAGGAAACAAGATATTTGGGTTATAAACATGCATTTCAAGTTTCATCAAAATTGGATCAAAATTGTGACCTCTAGGGTGTCCACAAACTAAAAACGTGATTTTTCATACAATCTGGGGCCATAATCCATGAAGTTATGGTCCGATACATGCTAGTATCAAAAGGAAACAAGATCTTTGGGAGATAGACCTATATTTCAAGTTTCGTCAAAATCGGATAAAAGTTGTGACCTGTAGAGTGTCCACAAACGAATTGTGGACGGACAGGGGCGACGACAATATATACGTCCACATGAAAATGGGGGCGTGTAAAAAACCTCCAGTATTTGTAATTCACTTTAATGATTCTCTGTAAAACAATCAAGCGATCAAAGATTGCAAGTGGATTGTTGACTGTTGAGATTGAAGAAACCTATTAGATATTTGGTCCACTAGCATTTCAAATCATGCATGTAATATGGTTTTATTTTAGGCCCGAGAACAAACACCCCCCATGCATAGTTATGTGGATATTCCTCACTAATTGTAAATAGAGATATGAGAACTGTTGGCTTCATATTACTTTGTGAGTTAATAAAGAGTTTTACTGCAAGCAATTTAACACTTCATATAGCACTAGATTGGGGTAGTGATAATAATTGAAACAGTATAAGAAGTGGATTTAGTCTCTCTGCTCGTAGTTGTAATGAGTATTTTGAGCCTGTAATAAGGACACTGACAGCTGAAACTTTGCTCTTCCTCATAATATCCCTGAAAACTACTGCGGGCGCCTATCAAAATTACTTGGCAATTATAAGGGCTTCTTAAGAGGCAGCATTATTCCTGAAATTTGAGAAGTTGGCAACAATCCAGAAGTGTGCTAGGAATATAAATTTTCACGCTACTGTCCAATCAGGTGAAAGGATGTACATGTCTGATTAGTAACAGCCAATCACAAGCTTCTCTTCTGAACTTCAACTTTTTTTTTACTTGAACGATTTCATGTCTTCAAAATCCTAACATACTAACAGGTCACTAAAATATAAAGTACGATTTTGCAGTCTTTTTTTTTCTCACTGAAGTTTATCGAAAACATAGGAAGTCAGTTTATCTTATGTTAAGAGAAACCATTAAGTTTTGCGGTTTTTTCCCAGGGTTAATAGGAATGGTTATTGTTGTGAATTCATCCATTAGTATTCCTCTATGTTGAATTCAATTTTATTACTTGTTGTTGAATATTTATAAATTCAGTGGGATGTTACTGGATACTCTGGTCTCCTGAGATATAATCTATTATGATTTATGATGTAAAAGTATAATTTACATAAATGTCTGTCATATTTATCATATTCTTTGACATTATCATGCATTAAAATTTCTGATTAGTTTTGTTTTTTCTCTAATTTGAAATGAGTCATGTTGAAACATCTATAATGATATTTTGAAAATTGGAGCTTTTAATAAATAAAATTGCATATTGATGTCTTCATTATCATCAGCTGGTGGATGATACCAATCTGTAATTTTAATATCAGATTTGAGAAAGGAAGAAGAAAGGCTTGCTGAATCCTAACCATTGTACTCTGTTCCCATTTAAAATGAAATTCGATAGTACTCACATGAATAAATGATTCTTAGGATTCGAATATTCAAGGACTGTATTCAAATGGTTATCAAATAACTGACCTGGAGACATAATCATGCTCGTCGGAATGAAAGTCATTTTGGGCAGGGGGCTGCAATTGTAGTGAGCCAAAATGGAGTATAGCATCTCTTTTCCGATGGCCCTGCTGTATGCAACATTCTTGAATTCCCAATACAATGATTGTAAATACTAGATCTTAGTTGTGATAATTGGGTACAAAAAATTCATGAAACAACAGCAAAAATCGAGACATCGGTGAGTTGTATTCTTAGTGAGTTTCCCTCCAAGGCAAATGAAATGATACAGTTTAGACATGTGCAACAGTTGAAATGGGTCCATTTCGGTATAATTGAATTGTAACTTTTTACCAAATAATGGGGAGAAATTCAGTGATTAATTTTATTTGATTGTTCGTGTGCGAACACAAAAATCTGATGAACATTTTTATTTGCCAATTTTTTTTAGAATGTTTACTGTAACACGATGGCTTGACAAGAGAAAGTGCTCCTCAGTAATTTCTAACTATTAGTGCTGACAGCTTGCAGACTTCCTGCCAGAGAAGACCCAGGTCAGTAGCATCACATCTTCAAAGTGTATACACATGTAGCCATAGAACATTCTGTTTCAAATTTCACAATTATTCTACTCTCCCAAGTCAAAAACAGATACATGAAAAAGACTATTATTTGGCACCATTTAATGCTTTTTATTCAACAGTACTGAATAGAATCCATTCAAGACAAAAATGGCTTTCTGAAATATTTCAGTCAAGATTTTTTTTCTCTTAATTTTTTGACTATTAAAATGGGTTCATCCGTCTGTCTGTCTGTCCGTCACACTTTTGGGACACAATAACTCTCTTTCTAATTGAGCTAGAATGTTCAAACTTGGTGCAGGTGTTTATTAGGTCAATGCCTTGATGGAGTAATAAGATGAACATTTTCTGCTTAGGGTAAGCAGAGACAAGCAATTTGATTGGTTGATGCTTTGGGACATGATAACTTTAGTTCTAATTAAGAGAGAGTGATGAAACTTGGTGTATAGTTTCATTACATCATTACCTAAGTTCGATAATGAGCATTTTCTGCTCGGGGTAAGCAGAGCGATAAGCAATTTAATTGGCCGAGACTTTGGAACACAATAACTCTCCGTCTAATTGAGCTAGAATGTTCAAAGTTGCAGGGCCTAAAATAATGTGCCTTGGAGCACAAACGTGCTTCGAAGTAAAAACCCTGTACTTCAAAAATAAGAAAACCGTGCTCTGAAAAAAAAAATGGTGTAGTGCTCTGAAAAAGTGTAAGGTAGCGATGCCTCCTGATCCCTAATAGGTGTTTCCTCTTGTAATCCAAATATTATCGTAACAAAGGTGATGTGTTATCTTCATAGTGCTGAGATCTAATACGAAAAAAAGCTCTGCATAGCTAACTAAACTCCTATAGCGTCAGAATAGTCCACAGGTGCCGTTTTTCAGCTCTGAATTTTCAAAATTTTCTGAGGGAGGCTCCCCAACCCCGCCGGCGCTTGAGGGTGGTTGGCTTCCCGGACACAGAATCCGTGCTACGAGAATTTAACCTTAATTCAGGCACTGCAAACTTGGTGCAGGTGTTTATGAGCTGAATGCCTTCATGGAGTTCGAAGATGAGCATTTTCTGCTTAGGGTAAGCAGAGGTAAGCAATTTGATTGGTTGATGTTTTGGGACACGATAACTTTAGTTCTAATTTAGGGGGAGTGATGAAATTTGGTGTATAGTTTGATTACATCAATACCTTGACTTAGTTCGTTAATGAGAATTTTCTGCTCAGGGTAAGCAGAGCGATAAGCAATTTGATTGATCGAGACTTTGGAACACAATAACTCTCTTTCTAATTGAACTAGAATGTTCACACTTGGCGTAGGTGTATATTAGGTGAATGCCTTGATGGAGCTTGGGGTTAGAAGATGAGAATTTTATTCAGCCGAATGGGTGGACACACTAGCCGAATGCTTCGCCCGATTCAACCTGTCGATTGCATCACCTTTCATGTCACATGATTAAACATGGCGGCGTCTATGTCTTCAATCTATCACGTGACTTCTCGATATGAGTGGTGATTGGGTAATGAATTCTATATTCGGCCGAATGCTTCGGCGATGCGGACACACCAGGCGAATATAATTCGGCCGAATAAATTTTTCGGGCGAATATATCAAACCTGTTTGGACACACTAGGCGAATTTTGACGCCGATTGATTCGGCCGAACGATTCGGCCAAATCATTCGGCTAGTGTGTCCACCGCTTTAGGGCAAGCAGAGATAAGCAATTTGATTGCTTTGGGACACAATAACTTTAGTTCTAATTAAGTGAGAGTGAGGACACTTGGTGTATAGTTTTATCACATCAATACCTTGACTAAGTTCCATAATAAGCATTTTCTGCTTAGGATAAGCAGAGCGATAAGCAGTTATATTGGTTGAGACTTTGGAACACAATAACTCTCCTTCTAGTTGAGGTAGAATGTTCAAACTTAGTGTAGGCGTTCATTAGGTGAATGCCTTGATGGAGTTCGATGATAAACATTGTCTGCTTACGGTAAGCAGTGATAAGCAATCTGATTGGTTGATGCTTTGGGGCCAATAACTTTAGTTTTAATTAAGTGAGAGTGATGAAACTCCGAGTATAGATTCATTATATCATTACCTTGACTAAGTTTGATGATGAGAATTTTCTGCTTAGGCTAAGGATCGATAAGCAATTTGATTGGTCAAGACTTTGGAACATAACAACTCTGCATTTAATTGAGGTAGAATGTTTAAACTTGATGTTGGTGTTCATTAGGTGAATGTCTTGACTTGAGTACAATCAATGATTAACATTTTGAGCTAAAGCTAAACAGTGCTAAGCAATTTTATTGGTCGATGCTTTGGCACCAGATAACTTTGATTCTATCTGATAGAGAGTGATGAAACTTAGTGTATAGTTGATAATCGGTTTGATTGCTTGATACTTTTGAAAAAAAATAAATGTGCGATTAATTAATATGTGTCATCTATTTAATTTGGGATTTTGGCGGGGGACATCAGCCTCACTGTTAGCTTGTTCCTCCTTATTCCTAACATATTAACAGTTCTTAAATTGTAGTAAATAGTTTGTTACAATGAATGCTGTTTATGTATACCTGGAAGATGCCAGTATTTTACTAATATAACCTGATATCATTAAAGAAGGAAATGAATGACAACAATTTGGTTAGTGTAATCAAATGTAATACAGGATGCTTAGTAAATTGTTTTTTCTCTTTGCTAGAAATAGCAATATATAAATGTGGTTAACTATTTTGTATGGTGGTGTTGGGTGAAAATGTTGTATTGTTGGGCTAAAATCTTGTGACGTTGGATTGTTGTGGTGTCAAGTTAAATTGTTGTGATATTGGCCATATTCCTCTCAATACTATGATTATGTACACTGATCCTGGGGGTGGTCAAGCAAGAAAGTTCCCCAGGATTTTGCAGTGCAAGACAAAGACAAAGGGCCTGGCAAAGAACAGTGTAGTGTAAATGGGACAAAAAAAAAACAAGCTCCTGAGTACACATTGGCGTGCTCATAAAAGAATCCTTCACAGTTAAAATTTGATGAAGAAATGCCACGGTCCATTGAAAATTTCCGTCCTATCACTCTGCATAGCGTATGCCTATCTTCAGTAGTCCAATTGGTGGAGAAAAGTGGGCAAATGAAATGAAATGAAATGGGGTTTAATGTCCTACTGTTCTGCTCCAGGAGCCACAGTGGCTAAGTCAGTTTAAGACACTGTCTTGCTAGCATGGAGGTTGTGGGTTCGCTCCCGGTGTTGGCCAAAAAAGTTCATCAAGATTTTCTGGCATGGCTTACCCTTGTCAGGGGTGCAGGAAGGAGGGCTGTATAGTCATTTGGATGGGACGACCCTCTGACAGTTGGAATTCAATATAAGAGTAGGCTGTAGCGCTGCAATCCAGACACAGTTTCCCGCACAGTACACTATATAGCTAATACCCATCTTCATTAGCCTAGTCAGAGTAGAACAGTAGGACGTTAAACCCCATTTCATTTCATTTTTTCTGCATCAATCGGGCTATTGAAGATATCATACGCTATGCAGATTGCTATGACGGAAAATTGCAATGGACTGTGGCATTTCTTCATCGAAATTCAACTGAGAAGGATTAATTTATATGCACGCCAATGTGTACACAGGAGCTTTTTTTGTACCATCTACACAACTAGACACTGTTCTTGCCAGGGCCTTTGTCCTGCACTACCTACCAATCAACCACCATAATTTTGGGTGTAGAAACACGAGTATATTAGTCTTGGAATTGTCAGTTATCTTTTTAGAGTAACAATAATAGTTATTATCTGTGACATATACAGAATTACTGTAAGAGGTGGAGTTTGGAGATGAGGGCACAGAATTAATACAAGGTGGATGGGATGGCTGATGAACTTAGTTATTACTATAAGACAAATCTGATAAATAAAAAAAACTGGTGGCATTTAGCTCAAATACACCAATAGTGGTTATAATATGTTCAAAGACAAATAGAACTTCTGTTGAGAGCTTAGCGTTAGCTTTTAAATTGTCTATTATCAGTGCACATTGAGAGTTGGTTTTAATGTGTCTTTTACACCTTAAAATATTCCTTCTAATGTGTTTGTTAACTGACATGTTATTGATTTTAAAAGCTGCCAGAGTTTAAACAAAAACTTGTTGACTTCAATTTTAGCTAAATCCATATGTATGTTTTGTTGTCAAGTTCGGCTTACTTCCATATTTTCAAGTTACAAATAGCAAAAGGACAGAAAGTTTGAAATGTTTCAAATTGGCTTTGAGCTTATGCTCTGAAACAAACAAACTAGGATTAGAAACCAAAGCAAATATTTTCTTTGCTATCTCTTTCAAAAACCAAATGGGATTTAAAAACATCTTCAAATTAAAGAAAAACATGATTTTATTATGATTTTTATTGGCTTCTTTAAGTATAAAAATAATGGGTCATTAATCAGAAAAGACAGAACAAAAGGCCCCAGAAAATGGATGGATAAAATATGGTCAATATCAAATTACATAAGTTATAAGATGTTCTGTGTGATAATATGTTTAAAAAATGTCACAAATAATATTTAATATAGTTTTGTTGACTGTCAGTTATGAAAAAATATATATCATGAAGAATTAACAGATACATTATAGTTAATTTAAATCCAAACATAAATGTCTTCAATTGTTGAACTTACAGCTCAAATTTACTTATATATTCATTTGCCTCCAGCATTTGTTTTCCCTTTTCTGATTTTATAAATTAACCTCTGGGGTGTAAACGTTAATAGACAAATTTATATAGATGTACATGTACAAATATTGATTATGTTTACGGTATGTGTGGAAGTGATCTGTTTTATGACTTTTCTTATGCAAGGGAGGCAATCCAATGCAAACACTAATTTGAAATGCAGATCAAATCACCAGACCGCTGATTACTTGAAATAATAATTTCATTTCTCTTCACCAGATGCTAAGTTTATTAAGGAAGCACTACCAACTGATCTACTATA